ACTTTTGTTGAGAGCGAAAAAGGAAAGACAAAGTTGTGTTTGGATCGATATCTATATATTAAGGATAAAATAAGTGAACAATAAGATTTACTGGAAATGTGAAATGTGCAAAAAACAAGAAGTTTACAAGAATTGCGAATAGAGCGAATATGTGGGAGGAGTGAGTGCAGCTGAGGGCAGAAAAAAAGTACCGTGACTTTGCAAATGCGATTAAAGAACATTGTATCAAACTATGACACAAGAAACAATGTTGAAGAATATTTAAGAAAGTGTTGCATATAATATTTCATAATAATAAAGTAAATATTAGCAACAATAGTTATATTTTTTTTATATTTTTAAATCACGAAGAATAACAGTAATAATAAAAATGTACCCTTTATTTTAAACTATGACAAAAAAGCAATGTAGAAAAAAAATAAGACCTGCTATATAAATGTACCCGTTCTTTAATTTTAACTGTTCAGTTAACAACAATAAAGTTGTATTATTTTATCTTATAGTAAATATTAGAAACAATGTAGTTTTATTTTTTTAACCACAGGTTTCGAGTGATCTGCCTTTTGAGCAATTGATAGTTCGAGAAATTATTTTTCAAGCAATTGATTTCGAGCAATTTACTGTCAGGCAATTGATTTCGAGCAATTTACTGTCGAGCAATTTACTGTCGAGCAATTGATTTCGAGCAATTTACTGTCGAGCAATTGATTTCGAGCAATTTACTGTCAGGCAATTGATTTCGAGCAATTTACTGTCGAGCAATTGATTTCGAGCAATTTACTGTCGAGCAATTGATTTCGAGCAATTTACTGTCGAGCAATTTACTGTCGAGCAATTGATTTCGAGCAATTTACTGTCGAGCAATTGATTTCGAGCAATTTACTGTCGAGCAATTGATTTCGAGCAATTTACTGTCGAGCAATTTACTGTCGAGCAATTGATTTCGAGCAATTTACTGTCGAGCAATTGATTTCGAGCAATTTACTGTCGAGCAATTGATTTCGAGCAATTTACTGTCGAGCAATTGATTTCGAGCAATTTACTGTCGAGCAATTTACCGTCGAGCAATTGATTTCTAGCAATTTACCGGATACCAAATTCAAAGATACACCGTGGAATTTCTAAAGGATCTGGTGCTGTATTAAAAAAGACAGCTTCAGAAAGCGCTTAAACGTATAGTGGAACACACACAGGCACTTTGCTTCTGCCATAAAACTTAAAAGAAACGGTACTGTTTCTCTCTTTACTATCTAAAAATCCCATTCCTTTTTTCTTTAGAGGCCACCGTCGTAAAATTAAATCTTTGGAATGGTCGATGGCGAAGACGGAGTCGGGGGCGTTCGCGGTGGGGTTATGGAAGAGAAAAATCTGTCAAGAGGCTGACGAGGATCAGAGGATTACAAGTGCGAGTCAAAATGAAATAAAATTTTACTGAAAAAAAAAGAGCAAGCAAGACGATGAATAGTAAGGCTTGAGATGAAATGAAAATTATTTTCACACAAACAATAAGCTTATTAAAAAGAGTTCGGTAGACACACCCAAAATGTACATATGTATATATATAAAGACCTCCTCCTCACACTGTTTCAAGAATTATACACACACACAACTCTATAGACATATACCACATATATATTTGAATATAAAGGCGTTTCCGTTATAAATATACTAACAAAATTTTCTTATTTACGTACGGACTATTATCCTCATCTTTGTTGTTATTATAACGTTTCGGACGTTCTACCCTGTGGCCTTCAACAGGAATATGTCGATCCGTTGTGTGTGTCACTGAAAAACGAGTTATTCAGCTAGAAAGAGAACAGGCTAAAATCATTTTGTGCCAGCCCTACCATGCCTTCCTAACTAAGCAATGGCGAGAGGAAAATGATCATTCAGGCTTTCAGTAATTCTACCAACATTCATACACTGACTTCCATCTTCAAAGTTCATTCAAGAAACATCAAGAGAACGGGGAATATGTTTTAACAAAGGAGGGAACAGTAGAGGTGAGAACTGGCGCAGGAAGTCACAACAGCAAGAGGGATCATCATTTCAACTTAGAGTTAAATAAATTCTTATTGTTCAAAGTAGAGTGCAATAGTCTTATAAAAACCTCGGAAAATTTCAGTAAGATATCTTTAAGCATTTCTAAGACACGACGGTGCTCAATTTTGGTGTTACACGATTTGGACAATTTTGCTGTTACACCCGGTATATGACAAAAACATGGGTATGCTGTATTTATGGGTAAAATGCTTAGTGTCAGAGATAGAGCGTATATAAATATAAAAGTGGACACTGAGGTTAAAACCAAGCGACAAGTCTGTTTCAGGCTTCAAAGTTATTTGTCATGGCCTGAAGATTGTGTTTTAGCCACCTGGTATTGGCGTCAGTGTCCAATTTTATACATACCATATATATATATATATATATATATATATATATATATATATATATATATATATATATATATATATATATACAGGGTGTCCATAAAGTTCATGTGCACTTTAAAAAATTTATAACTTTATTTGTATTTGCGATAAAAATAATTTGTAAAAAGGATTAGAAAGAAGTAAATCTATATTTTTTTTAAGGTTTTATTGAAATTTTATTGAAATTTCAACATGTTCTCCATCATTAGCAATACAAAGGGTAATACGATTTTGCAGTTCACGGAAAACATTTGCCAACTGATTTACAGTAATGTCTGAAATCACATTAGTTATTTTAGCTATACTTAAAAAAAAACTAGGTACATTAAACTTTATAAAACTTTTTACAGTTTATTTCTATCGCAAATATAAATAAAGTTATAAATTTTTTAATGTGCACACGAACTTTATGGACACCCTGTATATTACATAGAACAGGAATCCAAAATTATCCCATTCAAATAGCTATTTCGACCCACAGAAACTTGCTTATGGGTCATGCCAACTCAGAGTAGTGAAGAATTGAAAAGACCCATAAGCAAGTCTCTGTGGGTCGAAATAGCTAATCTAATGGGGTAATTTTGGATTCCTATCTATGTAATTTACATGCTCTTTTATAATAAATACAATCTCTCTTTGTGGGTCAGTTTTAATATTTTATATAATTAGGATTCACTTGGATTATATACGAACGGATTATTACCTATGTATATAGTACACACACACACACGCATATATATATATATATATATATATATATATGTGTGTGTGTGTGTGTGTGTGTGTGAATAATTTGATTGGCTATTTTTACACATTTTAACTTAAATCTGTTCTCGATAGCTCTCAAAAAGTTCATTAATGCAGAAGCCTTAAAATTGTCGAATTTTAGATAGATAGATATATAGATAGATTGAAAGACTATGGTGATAATAAAGAAAATAAACAACAAGAAGACCAAATTTTCACCATTTCTAAAACTATACGGATAATAAAAATTGACTACCAATAAAGCCATAATTCGACCAACCAATTAGAATGCTTTCACAATTAGAATATTAGAAAAGAAATACACAAATAATGACAAGATAGCTAATGACATTATTTCTGCCTTTCTGAAAAAAAAATGATAGTTCGACCAACCAATCAGAAAGCTTTCACAGTCGGCATATACGACCGCGAACCAATGAGAAGCGAGCGGACCTTTTCAAAGCGGGCTTATAGATGTGTATATAAACTTATAGAAAAATCAACTAAAATCAGTGGGTAAATTAATATTGACAATTCTCCGATGCTGCGGTCATATTAACATAGCCAGAGAGAAAATACGTCATTTGCATGACGAGGTGGCGACCATAAACGACTGAAGCGTTCCCTTGCTACATAGCTTCTATCATCACGTGGTCAAGTGACGGTTACTACATTTGGTTGCATATTTATATCCTTCAAAGCTCTTTATCTGTTTCTCGATTTCTTATATGCGAACTTTTTAACTCATCAATTTCCACCTTATACTTACGTCTATTGTCTTATATAATGATCTATTTTGTATTTATCAAAACTTTGTGCATTCATTTTAATCATTGCACAACGCCAGTATACATCCAAATCAAATATGCCTATCTATGGTTAGAATGGAAATTGTCAGAAGAGAACCTAATCTCCAGCAGAATTGATAACGTCCATAGTAATATAATAATAATAATAGTAATGATAATAGATAGATAGATAGATAGATAGATAGTGAACAGACTGAGATAGATAGATAGATAGATAGATAGATGGATAGATAGATAGATAGATAGATAGATAGATAGATAGATAGATAGAAACATATTGATATATATATATATATATATATAATAGATAAATAGATAGATAGATAGATAGTGAACAGACTGATAGATAGATAGATAGATAGATAGATAGATAGATAGATAGATAGATAGTGAACAGACTGAGATAGATAGATAGAATAATCGATACATATATATAGATAGAAACAGATTGATATATATATAATTGATAGATAGATAGATAGAATATTCGATACATAGATAGATAGATAGATAGATAGATAGATAGATAGATAGATAGATAGATAGATAGATAGAAACAGACTGATATATATATATATATAATTGATTGATAGATAGATAATGAACAGACTGAGATAGATAGATAGATAGATAGATAGATAGATAGATAGATAGATAGATAGATAGATAGATAGATAGATAGGAAATCATTACGATAGCTGATTGAAAAGAAACAAATGATTTTTAATTATGAGAGAAATACGGACATAACCACAGATATAGTCCAATAGATAAACAATGAAAAAGCTTCTTTAGAATAATATATTTGAACAGATTGTGATACATATGAACAGACTGAGATAGATATATATATAGATTAACATGTTTCCCATTTTCTCTGGATATCTGTGTATTTTTCTACATTAAATGCTCCCCTGCTGATAATGCAGCTGTCTGAATGTCTTTTTTTACCTAAGTTATAAAAAAAAAATGTTGATAATCCAGCGCGTCTATGTGAACAGCTGACATCATGACCGGCGGTGGTCTCTCCTCTAAGTTCTGTTTTTATTTTTATTACAAGGCCTCGAGTAAGAATGAATGAGACTGCTGTGGTTTTAGAAACATTTGCTTTATAGTTAATTGCAGGGGTTTAAAGATACTGAAATTAATGTTCCTCTGATGCGCTAGAAAGGAAAAAAAGAATTATTAATTAAAAGAAATGAACCTATTTGCTGAAATTCAAATCCTCATATCTTTTTAAACTTTTCGGGAGTTAATGTTCGATGTTTCTTTGGTTTCAACTTTTAATGTTGCACCACGTGAACTCAGATGGATACGTGTTAATTCTACGTTTATTATTATTATTATTATCATTATTATTATTAATTTGATTTCTGGCGTTTACACATTTCTTTCCGGGTCCCGCCCAAGGTCCTAAGGTTAGAAATGGCACTTTCCACTGACCAAAAATAACAAAAAATTTCATAGAAAATGCCCTTCATAAAGTATGGGCTGTACTTATGAGAACATTTTTTTGTATCTCTTTGAGGCATGGACTTCCAGGAATTCCTTCAGTTAGTCTACTAGAGTCTTTTCCAACCAATCCTAGGGCTCCAACTACAACAGGGATTTTTGATGTGCCCATGTGCCACGTTTTTGAGATTTCTATTTCAAGGTCATTGTATTATTATTATTATTATTATTATTATTTCTTGGTTTCACCAGTTCCAACCTTTGAAACTGGGATCAGTAATGCCACGTACACAACGGTGAATCCTCTTCATTCTCTTCGTATTCCATTAGTAAGGAGGAAGTTCCCTTTGGGTATCTTCTTTCCAAGTATTGCTGCTTCATGGAACAAGCTCCTGGTATGATGTTTTTCCAATCACCATAATCTTGACCTCTTCGTGTCTAGTGTTATCACTTATTTTTCCTACATAGCCTTATGGAGTACATTTCTTGCCTTTTATTCGGCTCATACCACATCACACTCTACCACGAGTGGCTCTTGAGCTTTGGCTAAACATTAGTCCTAAAAACTACAGAAACATTTCTAACTTTTTTACTATAATAATGCATTGAAAATCCGGGAAAAGAGATTGTTAATGATTTGGAATGTTATATATGTTCTTTTTGTTTTATGGGAGAAGATTTCAATACAGTAGAACCCCTGACAACCGGACTAAGAAGGCCTTCCGGATATGAGGAATTGGTTACAAAGTCCGGATATGAGGGGTTATATTTAGATTAAAATAAAAGAACTGAAATCAGGTTTAACATTTATTTTCAATGTTTTATAGTAAACAAAATAAGCTAATTGTGAGTGAAATATAACGGAATTGATTTTAAGGAAAAAGAAATAAAATATGTAATGTTAATGAAAATTCATTAAATTAAGTCTGCCACGTATGCAAAACAAATAATGTAACGAGGATTTTTAGTCGCTGTTGCAAGATGATTCTTTCTTTTCTAATGTCATTCTCAACTTTTTCTGAATTTCGTTTTGCTTTTGTTCTTGAAATTTTTTAAAAGAAAGACACTTTTTAACTCTGCGTGCATTATTGCAATCGTCATCGCTAAATGCTGGCTTTCTTCCCATAAAACTGACAACCTTTTCAATAGCTTTTTCAATTCCAGTCCAATTTCATCTCAGCCATGCATCTCGTCGCTATCTTGTTGCAAATGTGTATCGTTGTCATCCTTTTCTCTTATTCCCATCATCTTTTGCACCAATAAAAGCCTTTCGGGTGAAATAAGCATAAGCAATTATCCAAAGGAAATTTCCTGAAAAACAAAAATTTCAAATCAGTTACAATCATCACCGAAATGGTTCAAATATACACATGTCCGGATATGCGAGATTCCGGATATGAGGCACTCCGGATGTGAGGGATTCTTCTGTATAATTTTTTTTTATATATATACGACCATAATGTTAAGAAAATTAATAGCAAAGTGGAAAAAATTTCCTTGTGTTGCATTTCGTCTTTTTGGACAATTCAGCTTTGTTGACAGATCTTCTATTATCACAATAATAAAGATACAAACAAAAAGAAACAGGAATTAAATTGGCTAGACTCTATGTCCAAACATATTAAAGAATAAATTTTAATCTATAAGTTTAAAATTTCAGCGTCACCCTCCCCTCGTGTAGTTACAGCAATTGCATATGTTTTTTTTTTTGGTTTTTTTTTTTGTTTTTTTTTGGGTTTTTTTTGGGTTTTTTATTTCCTTAAACGCCTAGACGATATTACCTGACAACAGGTTTTTTAACTAGAATGCAAACACAAATATCAGACTTCAGAATTCTCTTTTTCCTCACAAACAATTCTATACGCCTATTATTACTATAATAATTACTGAACAAGAGAGGATTTAAAAATGATGCTAGTGCATCAATATCACGATCACAAATTCCGTAACTTATTAGAGTCGTAGGAGCACACCGTGTACTGCAGATTCAGTAGAAGTGGTGTGCATTGGGAAAGACAGCCTAACGGAGACTAACCCTCTCAAGATTGGTTTGAATTCAGTTTTCCTTCTCCAAGACCGGTTGGAACCAAAGGTTATAGAACCCAGGCTGTCTTGGTATTCACCTATAGCTGGGGGTCGGGGAGAAGATGTGGATTCAGAGCTTTCTCAATGGTATTAACACGTGAAAGAAATGAACTCATCTGGAATCCAAACTCGGCTTTCCGATTCCACAATCCGAGCCTCAATCCACCGTCTCCCCTGTATCAATATACGAACTCATATATAGCCATCTGAACACATGATAAGGGCATATTGAGTATATTCATCATAACTAAATATGGGGGATAGAGTTTCAGTTTTTTATATACATTTGCTATACCTATCTTACTTCGCACATTATAAGAACATAACATTTTTAAAATTATTAAGATAAGTAAGCATAATTATTATTATCATTTTATTTCCTTTGATTTCTGGTGTGTTCATATTTCTTCCCAGGTCCAGCCCAGAGACCTAAGAGTACCCAACGGTGAATCCTTCTCATTATCTTCGTATTCCATTAGTAAGGAGGAAGTTCCCTTTGGATATCTTCTTTCCAAAAATTGCTGCTTTATGGACCAAACTCCTGGTATGATGTTTTCCTAATCACTACAATCTTGACCTCTTCATGTCTAGTGCTATCAATTATTTTTCCTACATAGACATATGGAGTGCATTTCTTGCTTTTTATTAGGTTCATACAACACCACACAGTAACCCTCTACCATGAGTGGCTCTTGAGCTTTGTATTGACTGGATGTCAGTCTAAAAGTCTACAGAAATATTTCTAATTATTTTACTATGAAAATTCATTGAAAAATCCGGGAAAATAGATTGTTAATGTTTTGGAATTCATCTAAAAAGAATATCGTACTTTAATTCAAAACCTGACGCCATATTTTAATAATGCAATTAGTCACTAATGAAACGAAAAAGAAGGATAAAACTGAAGCTATTATGACGTGTTTAGACAACTAATTTTTCTAATAATTTTTTTTTAAATGAGAAATGTATTAAACGAAATGTAAATGAAGGAAGAATATATTAAAAACGGGGGAGAGGCAAACAATATCAATAAGAATGCGAAACCAGAGAGGAATAAGAATACAATAAAAAAGATAATGACAGCCACAACAATATCAAAATAAAAGATAAAATTAATATTATATCAAAAGGAGTTTCTTTTCTTGCCGAAATCAAGAATAAATATGAAGTCGTCTTCATGTTTTGCCTGTTATAGGAAGAAAACAATAACGTCTAATTTGGAAACAACATACGAACCTTGTATTGTTTTATCGAGATATTTCTTGTTTGTATTTATTTATTTTAGCCTGGCGTTTCCTTTGAAGAATAACGTTACTTGTTTGTTTAGTTGTTATACGGTATGTGTTCTCTCCGACATTTTGTTTTGTAATTTATTTTCTTCAAATAGGTTTTTTTAATGTCAAATTCTAACATTGTCTATTTATTTATACACATATATTTATACTTAAATTTGCTTTCTGACTCTATTTTTCTTTGCCGGCTTCACAAGAATTCAGACTCGAGTATGAAAAGTGTTATTGTCACCTGGTTATTTTGTGGGAGAAGTTTGGCGACTTTGGTAAAAATTATTCCAATGGAAATTTTTCTAGATTTTTTATTTAGATTTTTTTTTTTTTATCATTTGTTTCCTTCAATTTAAAATTTATATTGTTTCTCTTCACACATTTTGCAATGCACAATTACACAGCAAAATATGAAGCGCTATTCTAAATCATTCTGAGGATCATTTAAACAGATCAACGTTTCCCGTGTCTCACCGAATATTTTTCACATCAATGGTAACTTAAAGAAATAAAGAACCTACTCAAAATTGATCGTAAAAATTGAACATCAGAGTCATGTTCTTTTTGTCGTCAAAATGTCGGTTGATTCATACTCCACGCCTCGTCAGGTTTATTTAGCGAGAAAAACAAAGATTCTTCCAGAAGAAAAGCAAAAAATCAACATTTTTTAGTCATTTTTCTTTTCTCTGAAATACAATATAAGAAGACCAAGCTTTTTATTTTAACCAGTTAAAGTATTTTCGAATCGCCATTATTACCAATCTCTATAAGCCGTTATTACCAATGTCTATAAGCGTTATTTTAGCGGATACTCATGTATAAATAGATATTTCTGTTGTTTTCATATTGTTTTGAAATTAGCATCCACCAGCCTAGACATAGAAAATTCATTAAAGAAAATGTAACATATATATATATATATATATATATATATATATATATATATATATATATATATATATATATATATATATATATATATATATATATATATATATACTACAATAATCCTAAGGAACCAGGCAAACCTAGCTAGGTTTCCCTAAACGGATCTTCATTGTAAAACTGGCTAAAAAGGAAAATAACGGAATAGTATTTTTTGTACACTATTTACATTATTCGGATATTGTCCTCATCTTTATCGCCATATTTATTACAGCGTTTCGGCCATTGTACACTCCGGCCTTCTTCAGGTGGTTGGAATGTCGAACTGAACCCATTATTTAGCTCACTGGGGTAGACTGTTC